TAAAGAGTTTGTCAAGAAATTGTAAATTATTTTTTTAGTTAAAAAATTTCTTTAAAATTGTCTATTTTTAGCTTATATTTTTTGTCTTATAATATAAATACAAATATTGCAAAAATATAATTCTTATTTTCAAATATTATTATATTAAATTTATTTAAATATTTTAAGGGTAGGGTATTTGTATTATATTACACAAGTATAATTTAGTGCAGATCATCAGATTTTAGCTTTTTCAAAGAATAGTATGAAACTCGTGATCTTTAATAATATTAACCAATAGTTTAACATTATTATAAAAAATGAAATTTTCAATAATTCAATAGTATGTGCATCTAAGTAACATATTATTTCTTGCTAAGAACCAATTTGTAACAAAGGTTTGTTTAAAATAAATAGAAATTGCTTTGCGCATGGGGTTCTAAAAATGCGCATGTCAAGTAAACTTTACTAAAATATATATTTTTTAAAAAAATTTAATAGAATATTATTTGTACAACTTGCTCATGAATAGTCATATAGTCAAAAGCTATAGTAATAGCAATTTTTTGTAAGCTTGCAAGAAGCTCTTTATTTAGAGAAGTATTATTAATAATCTATTTATAGATCACTAATAAAAATGATTTTTAGAGTTTTTTTAATAAAAATTGTGCGAACCAACTTGTAAAACAAAATAACTTCCAGGTTAAAATTTCTCGTAGTAATCATTCTATTTTTGTCTGGAATACTGCACAACTATCTATCTTATCTAATTATAAACTTATCGAAGAAGCATATCAAGATCATAATCCTGTTTATATTAAATTACAAGTACCTAAAATTACTGCTGATATTAATGAACAAAGTTTAGTTCCTTTAATTCCAGGCTACTTTATTTTTATGTTTTTTGGAGGTGTTTATTGTTTTGTAAAATTAGAGTAAAATTCTGTTAAACAGACTATTTTATATGAATGAACTCAATTCGATCATGATTCATCTTTTGCAAATATAACACGATCATTGGTGTTTGAAAGCCAAAGTTCTCTTTTATGTTATATTAAAAATGCTTTAAAATATAAAGGTAAAGTATTATTACCATGGTTACTTGGCTTTACTAATACTGAAAATGTTCAATGTCTATATAGATATATTGGAAACTATTTTAAAAACATTTTTAATATAGAAAGCGATTTTATCAAGAAGAAAAAGAGATAACACATTTAATAAATCTAGGAAAACGAGTAGCTAATTCTAATAATTATGATCAAAGTTTTAAAAAAAGGGCAACTCAGTTAAAAAATGAAAATTAGGAAAGTATGCAATAAATCATTTACGGTTTGGGACAAAAATTAAAAAATACCAATTCCAAATTACAAAATACATGCAAAAAATTATACCAATCACAGAAAAAAGCTTTAACCTTACAAGAACTATTAAAAAAGAATCAGATTCATCAAGGTACACTATAGTTTAAATATATGTTTATTAAATAAAATACAGTAAATTTACTTAATTAATTTTTTAGTGAAAATGAAGACGAAAATAACTCTAATAGTAACGATAAAATTCAAGAACCTAGAACAAAAAACCAAGAATTTCAAGAATTAATACAATCTCTTATTTCCAAAGAAAGATTAGGTTTAAGTCTTTTTATAAGCACTGAATTGTTTCTTATCTATATATTAAATCAAAAATGGCCCACTTGTCAAAATGACAATATAAAAAAAAAAAATCACAAAATAAAAGTTATAGAATTATCAGTAAAAATTATAGTTATCTGTTATCAATATCAAACTAAACTTTTTATGGAAATGAAAAATTTGAGATTGAATTTTTAGACTTAGTAGCAGCCGCGGGATTAGCTAGTAGTGTTAATTGTGAAGAGTGGTCAACAATGCTGTGTTTGTATGGAATAACACATCAAAATGGAAAAGTATAATATTTTCAGAAACAAAAAAAAATTTTTAATAGAATAAAAACTGCCGCAGAAGAGAGTACAAACAATGCATTACATGCAGCTTGCGAAGAGGTTGTTGCAAATAAAAAAGAAATTTTGGAAGTAGGATTTGATTGTTCATGGAGTAAAGTTAGAGAAGCTCTTCAAGCAAGTGCCAAATTCATATATAATGGAACACTAGAAGGTAATAATATTGATATTAAATTTTAAAATAAAAATAAAAAACTAATTAAATTATATTAGGATTTTAACACAAACCTATCATCGTATTTAATGTAGTAGAAAAGCCTCACATTTATAATAAAAATGAAAAGGAAATAATAATTAATAAAGGAAATTATGATAATAGTAGCTGACAAATGGAGCATGCAAATCTTGTTGAAAATATTAGCAAAATTACGCCTACCCTTTATGAATATAATATTACGTTAGATATTGGTGTTGATGGTGACTTAAGTACTAACAAAACATTGCGTAAAGAAAAAACAATTTATAAAATCTTTGCAGATCTAAAGCATAAATCAAAAATCCTAAGAAATAAAATAGGTAAAATTAATTTTATAAAATATAAAATATGCTTAATAAAAAAAATTAACTTATTATAATCTTAGTCAATCAAGAAAGATGAAAACGATTTGAGCAACCAATAATGAATTTTTATACCAAAAGCGTTTACGCTGCTGTTGCACGAATACAAAATCCTGATATTATATCACCAACTGACAATAATCTATATATAATGCAGAGCGAAATATGTGTAAACCATCTTCTTGATAATTACAATAATTGCTGGCCCAAAGTTTGTTGGAAAGTTCAAAATCCTAACCTTTTTTTAGCAGATTCTAATTTAATTGGATATACTGAAGGTCAAGCAAATGCTTTTAAAGAATTTTTAGAAAAACATACTAAACTTCTACAAAAACAAAGTTTAATAACAACTATACGAACCAGTATGAATTAAGCATTCAACCATAACTATGCTGATAAAAAGGTTGATTATGCAAAGTCTTTTTTTGCTCGACATGGGCTTGCAGTTTTATACAATAATGATAGTCTTTTAGAAATGCTAGAAATTGTTAGACAGGCAAGAAATCTTTTGGAATTTTCTAAAGAAGATCAAATCAATATTGGAAAAATCTGGAAACAAAGAGAAGACAAATGTAAATGTAATATTGCAGAAATTAATAAAAGAAATGTTTTACAATCTAAAAAAATTGAAGAAATACAAAAACAATTAAAAGAATTTGATTTTTCGAAAGTATAATTAAGGCATAACAATCTATTAAATAATGTAATAAAATAAATAATTTGAGTTTTTAGGACTTAATACCTTATGGAATTAAGATTAAATATGATGTAGTAAATCAAGAATTCCAATCTTCGTTTACAAACTTAATATCTGACTTTGATGAGTTTATTTTTTGTGAAGGATATAAATATTTTCCAAAACAATCTCCAAAAGGCTTATGTCAGTTATGTTATTTCTATAATGAACATGGATTATCTTCTTATATTATAAATTCTAAGTTCCATAAAATTGATAAAGATCAAACAATAATACCTACAGAGCTAATTGATCCTGTAATCACTAATTTTTTTAAATTTGATGGTTACCGAGAATTTCAACAAGAAAGTATAGAATCATTTCTTAAGAAACAAGATACTTTAACAATTTTGCCAACAGGAACTGAAAAAACCCTTATTTTTTCTGCTGCAAGCATATTAACAAAAGCTTTAATAGTTGTTTTTACATCTTTAAAAGCAATAATAGAATGTTAGTTAGTAAGTAATTAATTTGAAATTTTTATAAAAGTTAGATATAAATACAGTATCGCAAAACATTTATATCTAACTTTTATAGTATATAAAATTTTATTTACTAATTTCAAATTGGTCTTAACTCAAGCATGAACTAATAAAAATGGGTATTCCTGCTGCTAAAATATATGCTGCTTCAGATCAACCCTTGGAAAAACAAGAAAAAATTTTTGGTGAAGTTGTAGCAGGAATAACTAAAATTTTGTGGGTGATGTCTGAAAAGTTTATTGAAAGTCTAAAATTTCGTAAATTTTTGAATAATGTATCTCAAACACGCAGTGTACAATTTGTTATTAATGAGTCTCATTGTGTTCTAGAATTTGAATATTTTAGATTAGTATTATACTGAATTTTTTTTTAAAAAAAAATTCATATTATTAAAAAAAATACTTATAGACCTGCATGGACCAAATTGGAACAAATAAAAAATGAATTTTCACTTTTACCAATTCTATTATTGACAGCAACTTGCTCTTATGAAGGTGCATCAAAACTTGCTATAATTTTAAAAAGACCTAATTTGAAAGTAATCTGAAGTTCTCAGATATATTGACCCTAGTTAGTATTCGAAACTCAGTCAAAACCATCAAAAAAAAAAGATATAGTAGAGATAGTTCATAAAAACATAGAACAGAATCATGAAGGTCAAGTGATTATATATATATCAATACCTAATGAATATATAGAAATTTTTAACGGCCTTAAGAAATATGTAGATTCTAATCATCTTGATATATATTATGAAAAAATGCATAGTGCAGACCAAAAAATAATTCTAAGTTCATGAAACCAACAAAAATTAAAATACATAGTTGCTACGAATGCTTTTGGTATGGGAGTTCACATGTCAGATGTTCGAATTATTATTCATATTACTTTTCCACTATCATCAACAAATTTTGTACAAGAAGTTGGTCGAGCTAGTAGAGATAGACAACAAGCTAAAAGTATAGTTTTATATTCATGTTCTGATATTCGTAAGTTGTTGTTGATTGTTGGTGGAAAAATTGAAAGGTAAAGTATAAATAAATATTGCAAAAAAAAAACTTGCAAATCTTATAAAATTTGCAAGTTTTTCCTTTGTAGCACTCTAATATATAACAAGTTATAAATTAATAAATATAGTTTTTTTTTATTTTATTTTTCAGTACTAATGAAATACAACCAGTTCAATATAACTACTTAGAAAAAATGAAAAAATATATATTTGCAATGGCTTATACTTTTGAAGATTCTTACCAATATCATCGAAAAATGGTATATGAGCCATTTAGATGGCCTAAAGACTCTGAAATTCCTAAGTGTAGTATTTGTGATAACTGTAAAAGATGTATCGATGATAAGATTATTTGGTGTAATATTAGTGAAGATTTACTTCAGATTTTAGATACGGTAGATAAGCTAGTAAATTTTACAAATGATTTGACAACACCATTAGTAAATTTTGGGCATAATAATATTGTAGACATTTTTACAAAAGCCAAAAACAAAAATGCTAAAGAACAAAACTTAACTTCCTTATGGGAAAATGATAGTGACAAAGCTAAAAGCAATATTATTCGAACTAGAAATATATGTTTGCATGCTATAGATCGGCTTTGTATAGAAAAATTATTAGTTCAAAATGTGGTAATTAAGCCAATACAGCCGGGTTCTTCAACGATAGTCTATAGATCTAATATTTCTGGAATTGCTCCAGATACAAGACAAAAAATACTTGAAAATTCGTAGTTAGAAGTATTTAGACCACATTAGTAAATATAAAAATATTTGATTGGCTAAAATAAAATTACTATTTTTAGCTTGGTTATACAAATAATCTACAACCTACAGCTATGCCGTTATTAGACTATACCGTAAATTACATGAAATACCCTACCCTTAAATAATTAAAAAAGTAGATCAAAGATATATTTATAGTAATTATACAGACAAATTTGTCTGCAAATTTCTACCAATTAAGGGATAAGCTAAAAATAGACAATTTTAAAGAAATTTTTAACTAAAAAAATAATTTACAATTTTTTAACGAACTCTTTAAATATTAAATTTAAAAATATAGTTTCTAATACAATATTGTAGTTTATACAAAGAATAAAAACTTTTATTATTGCACTTTTAGTAATTTACTTATAAAAATTAAGACTTGTCTTAAGAGTAAAGATTTTTTTTAAAGGTAAAAATATATAAAAGTTAAGAAAGGTTAAAAAAAATTTTATAGTAAAAATTCTAATACAAGAATTTGGAACTTTAATTATATTAAAGTTTTTTAGTAATTTTAAAAAATTTTCTTAACAAAGTTTATAAAACAAATCTAAAATTAAATATATTATTTAGAAAATATATAGCTAAAATTTTAAAAAAGTTTGCAGACAAATTTGCTTGCAATACAAACTAAGGGATAGTATTTAATATTTCAAATCTTTTCAAAATGTCTAAAGCTATATAAGAATAATTCTGACTATAGAAATTCTAAAATTATTTTAATAAAAATAAATTCAAAATTTTTAAAAAATAGATTAAAGCTGTTTCAAATTAATCTGAAATAAAGTAATTTTCAAAGATACTATTTGAATAATTTAGATTATCACTAATTTCATTAAATAAATTTATTTTTTAACTATCCCTTAAACCGTACAGTTAAGCAGGCAAATTTGTCTGCTAAAATTTTATAAATTCATGTCTGATTTACTTTTATTAAAAATAAAAATATTTGAATAAAATTTTTTTTAAATAATAATTATAATTATATACTATCTAAAAGTT